CATTTTTACAGAATTTATTGTACTCGGTGTGTGCTCGAATGATGTCGCGCTCTCTAACATTCTCGAGGGAAGAAAGAAATTTCTATGGTGCTTCGCAACTAATGAAAACGACTTTTGTTTCGCATAAAGATCCGCGATCAGCCGAGGGTTTTTCAGAGAAAGCTTGGGAAAAAGTATTTGTCATCGCACTGCACTGTCACTGCAACGAGGATTGCTCCAGGTCTCGCGAAAATCGCCGGGCGCTTTCGTTGACACTGACTCGGGTGACGAACAAACGCGCGAATAGATAAGTTCGGTTATAAGAACATTTGGATTACAATCATTTCATACTTTGAAAATAAACCATTTTTACAGAATTTATTGTACTCAGTGTGTGCTCGAATGATGTCGCGCTCTCTAACATTCTCGAGGGAAGAAAGAAATTTCTATGGTGCTTCGCAACTAATGAAAACGACTTTTGTTTCGCATAAAGATCCGCGATCAGCCGAGGGTTTTTCAGAGAAAGCTTGGGAAAAAGTATTTGTCATCGCACTGCACTGTCACTGCAACGAGGATTGCTCCAGGTCTCGCGAAAATCGCCGGGCGCTTTCGTTGACACTGACACGGGTGACGAACAAACGCGCGAACAGATAAGTTCTGCGTTAAGTTCTGCGCGCTCTATTGAAAGAGGACCGTGCGATCTTTCAGCCTCAGGAAATGTCGGCGCGATGTTGCGCGACGTAGTTCGCGTAATCGGGATGTATAGTGGCTCTACGGTGCGGTGCTTTGTGTGTGCGAGGAAAACTTTCTTCATGCATACGCAAAGTGTATATGTGTCGTACAATATTCATGGAATCTGTTCAAGAAAGTTGAGAGCCGACGACTATAGAGAACGCGTAACGGCAGCCGCCGCAGAATGCATCCTTAGACACAGAAATTCGTTTGCGATTGCTTGCACAAAGTGATCTCTTCTTTATTCTTACACCCGTTAAGTTCGTCGCATTAATTGGGCGCCGTCTGTATTCTTTTCAGATGTTAACAGAAACTTGTTCACTTGGCAAAGGCTAAGAAACTGTTTCCAAAAGTTGCAACCGATTGGAATGACAAGAAAGAAAAGAAAATAGAACACGCGTTTCTTAAATTCTTCATCAATTTGAAAAATGTGTTCTGATATATAAATAAAAAAAATGAATATATAAATGATATATAATATATCGTTGATAATATAATGAATAATAATATAAATATATAATTATAATAATATAATAATATAATTATAATAATATAATAATATATATAATAATATATAATTATAATAATATAATAATATAATTATAATAATATAATAATATATATAATAATATATATAATAATATATATAATAATATATATAATAATATATATAATAATATATATAATAATATAAATGAATATATGAATAAATAAATATAAAAATAAATAGAACAAAAATTCATGTAAATTATGATATATAATAATTATAAAATAAAAGATGTAAAATCGGTCGTTTGACCACCGATGATACGTTTAGGGTTAACGTCGAAGTACACTCGAAGCACGAATGAAGCAGAAGTGCTTTCCGCAAGTGCATAATTATCACGTACCTTTAAACCTGGAGTATGTGCAAAATATGCTTCCGGGCTTTGCGAATGATAGAGTCCGCCATGGCCGACAGCACCGCAGGGCGCCCGGACAGTCAATTTGCCGCAATCGAATTCACCGCCGCTACGGTATCTCACTTTGGCAGCTTCGTTTACCAACTGATTGCAAAGTAACAAGAATTAGTAAGCAATAACAATGTAAATCAACCGTGATCATCGTTTTGCACGATCGTTTTTCATCGTTTCATTGCATTTTGGATGAAAAGTATAAAACCAACTTTAAAATAACATAAAAGCGTGTATTAACATTTTATTAAAAGATCTCCATATATATTCGACAGTAAAATTAAAAGATCGGTTATTGTTGACCGAAAAATTGTCGTAAGTATTCTGTTTTACTACTCATTATACTGTGGCGGCTACCTCCAGACCCGCCAGCAGAGGGCTCCTCTTCCCGCTAGTAGCCAATCCGTTCCGATCCCTATATATACACCGAGACTTCGTCCTACCCTTATGTCTAAGGCAAGGGCCCGCTAGGATAGCCTTACCGATGAGTCCTCTAGCGGGCCCCGGACGAAACGTCTCCCCACTCCTTTTCCACTTCCACGACATTCGAACCGCCGCCAAAATACTTTGTACATTTCTGAACACAATTCTAACATTTTTAGATGGTTATAGCCTTTCTAAAAAAAACTACCAACGAATGAAGACTTAATCAAATCGATAAATTTTCACAAAATTTAATGTAATATAAATAATATTGATTTAAAACAAATATACTGTATAAATTTGGATGTGAAAAGAGTATGATTCATGGTCGTTGGTCAGATCGCCCTACTTAATAATAAAGAAAGAAAGAAAGAAATGTAAACAATATACCTGATCAAAAGCGGGAAATATATAATCAGCGAATTGAATCTCTGCGATCGCAGTCACACCAAAGGTAGCTAAACCGATGCCAAATCCGGCGATGCCTTGTTCGCAAAGGGGTGTATTGAAAACTCGTTCTTTACCGAACTCCTTCTGAAGACCGACCGTGCATCGAAAAACACCTCCGAAAGCCACATCTTCTCCAAATATTACTGGTTAAAGAAAATTGAATGGTATGTCAATCGTAACGTAGGAGATAAATTTTGTTAGATTATTTTTAAATCGTTAAAAATGTTAGGGATGTAAATATATTTTGATCTAACTCCTGTATGTTGCAATATCAAAGTAATTTACAGAGACAGAGTAATTTAATTTTGCACAAAGATCCGCAATTTAGTTACAATCGATTCGGACTAAGCCACATCTTCTCCAAATATTACTGGTTAAAGAAAATTGAATGATATGTCAATCGTACTGCAGGAGATAAATGTTGTTAGATTATTTTTAAATCGTTAAAAATGTTAAGGATGTAAATATATTTTGATCTAACTCCTGTATGTTGCAATATCAGAGTAATTTACAGAGACAGAGTAATTTAATTTTGCACAAAGATCCGCAATTTAGTTACAATCAATTCGGATTGAGAGACTGTTTCTCGTCTTCCGTACAAGAATTGTTTATTACAAAGGTAATAATTTCGCCGTTGTTGTATTCCAAAGTCAAAGTGTCACTACCTCGCCTCGAGTCAACTCTAAATAACATTAATTCGGCAATGAATTATTCATTTACAATAATGCGTTACGTTTAAACACGACTCCGACCACCGTGATTCTCTATGCTGATACTAAAAATAGATTGTTTCTTCCATTTACACGCTAAATTGGTTTATTCGCTTCGTTTATTCGTGTAATTATTTAATACTTTTACTGCCTGTTCGTTGCTTTATTCCATCGTTTCCACTTTATACGCGAGGATAGCAATCTCGTCATGTAAATCACAGTTGACTGACCTAGTAGACGCAAGTATCTATGAATAAATATGTGTACCGCGATCTGAATAAAACCGTATGAATCCAATTACTATCTGACGGGTGCCTTAACGATAAGATAAAACGAGTTCTAACACGGTTAATATTCGAGCGACTCGTATAGTAAGATTCGTTCAATATTTCGCGTTTCCGTAGCTAAGAGAAAAAGAAATTATAACGTTACCTGCTGTAGGATCTTTCGTCAGCACCAATCGAAGTCCATTGTTTATGGCTTGATACATGTTCATCTTTTCAGTTTGCCCTAAAACAATAGTGACTCGTAAGCTCTCTTGCATCGTCTACGGGAACAAATTTATACGTTGAGACCTAACTGATTTCTTGGCTGTTTTATTTTAAACGTACTGCTTGTTCTTTCTGCGACTAGCTATAGGGACAAACGAGCACCATTTTTAATGTTAATACCGTTATAAAATGTGCTGTGACAAATTAGAAGCTGTTAAATTAGAGTATAATTTTATTATGCTCTATTTTCTATAATTTTATTCTACCATCTATAATTTTACTATACTCTATTTTATTATACTATTATATGTAATATATATTTATTACATATAATAGTATTTTATTATATAATATATAGTAGTATAATAAAATACTATTATATATAATAAATATATATTACATATAATAGTATAATAAAATAGTATAATAAATATATATTATATATAATAGCATAATAAAATAGAGTATAATATATATTTATTATATTTACATATAATTTAATTCGGAGTATAATTTTATCATTCGTATATTCACAACTTACTGAACAATTACTAAATTTAGGAAGAATCATGCTATGACAAGTACGCTCCGATAAACGTGAAAAGGAAGCTAATATTGTTTACGACAGCGTTTACGGTAATACAAAAATAATCTTTCTTTATCACGTAATTTCTTGCAGGCGTTTTCGTCAGCGGCCGTATCCGACGATGTATTGACACCAAGAATTATCTTAACCCGATAAATTGCTACATTTGCATCCATGCCCACAATGCAAGATGGTTAAAGAGCGTTCGATTTGCACTCACCATCGGCGAACGATTTTTTGTCCGTGTAATACGTGAAATGTAAGCACCGCACATTATTTCGTCGTCGCGTATATCCGTTCAACACGTTGAAAACGAAAGACGGGCGAGTGTTCACTAGTCGCGTGGACAGTTCACTGAGTATCATCGTGCCGCACAAATGCCGCTGGGTAAGACCACGACGATAATGTACGGCATTATCTTCCGACTGTTATTTACATACAATATGGTATTTCAGAACACGACCCACGAATTTCGTAAGCGACTCCAGATACGGCGCATACGCTACTCCATACGCGCTGATTTGTTGAACAGTTCCCTGCTTCCTCTATAAAAGTTTCTCTCTCAAACGGCGAGAAACGTTTGTTCGTTATTTACTGTTAGGCGTTTCAAGTCGCACACGCTTAGGCTAAGCTTCTCCTTGGGGGTTCCTATTTTTTTTTTTTTACTATCCAGTGGATTTTATCGAGAACAGTTCATAAATCGAAGTCCTGTGTGTGTGAATCCAGGAATCTAATTAAAATAAGTCCTGAATGCATTTGTCAAAAAGTTATTAAAACATTATATATAAGAATAATTAAGAAAATTTCTTGTATTCTAATTCTTAGTTGCAGCGCATTCTTATACAGAGAATTTTTTAACGAATACAAAAATTCATAAACCAAGTCGTTTGCAGTATTTTCAAAGTGTAAGAGTATCCAGAATTTCAATTTTAATTATTTTGGAATTAGAATTTTAATTTATTAATTATTTTACAATTAAAATAATCGCTGCGACGTACTAGTGCCACCATCTAAGTCTACTGCCACCTAATATTGCCATCATTCTACGGTACACATGCTGCCATTTAGCGGCGCGCTCACTAAACTATTGGGTTGGCAACTAAGTAATTGCCGATTTTAGTTATAGATGTCTCTCACTCTCATTTTTATGATATCCGTAAATGTTATATTATAAAATTATTATTATTATATTATATACTGGGCTTCGACCGCTTATTGGCTCGGCTGCCTCGCGCCTCGCCTGTCATTGGTCAGTGTTTTTCGTTAATAACTCTTTAACGATGCCTCTGAGAAAATTTTTGCAAAGAAAATAGTTACTTCAAATGTCCTCAGAAACCCCTCATATCCTGTGATCGCGTAACTTTTGGGACACCATGTACGCATTAATATGGCGCGCTAACCTGTCGAAAACGCTGGAAATTCGAACTCTAGCCGCGAATTTATCAAAATCAATACCGGTCACGGCACCTGTAGGCGAATTGCGGAATCGCGGAAATAAGAACATAACAGAGAAGAGTCCGCTATCGTACCAGGTTCAGGTTCAGGTTTGCTTTATTTAAATTGCCAGCAGCCTCCTGCTCCTTTCACACTGTTATCCTTTCAATTTATTATTTCTTTTACTTACAATTTTTCATCACAACATAACACATCATATTCTTCGTCTGAAACTATCGCACAAAGATAAAAATACAAAACTATAACATTTTTCCTTTATATATATATGTGTGTGTTATTAAAGTTAAAGGAAAAATGTTATAGTTTTGTATTTATATATATATATATTTTATCGAACCATGGTCTATCCTTGACCATTTTTCTTGGCTTCCATATTTTACAAAATAGATGGTTCCTGTTTTCTCCCCTATCTCCTCCAATTCTTCCTCCCATTTGGTCCTAATTTCATTTTTGTTTTTGTTAGTAAGGTCTGGTATTGAAGCTCTTACCTCTTTATCTTGTTCTTTACTCGTGCATTCTTTGGCTGCCGCCTTCGCCTCTTCGATTCTTCCTCCATTATCGTTTTTTGAAACTCGTTATTATTTATTTTTTACACAGTTGGTAATTCAGAATCTCAGACAATAAAAAGCATCGCTTGCAATGTCCATACGGATCCTAAAGGCAGATCTGAGAGTAAAACACTCGACATTCCTATAGTCTCATATATGTATGCAAGACCCGCCAAGGGAACGAATCCACCTTCTGTCTTTATCTAAAATTGTGAGGGCAGCACTGTAGCTGTGACATGTCAGCCAATCGGAGAAGTAGCAAACACTACAAACAAATGCATGAATGTGTGTGCATGTACATAACAATACAACAAAGGGGTATATACGGAGGACCGTGCGGTAGAGCACAGACACATATATACTGAACACAACTTTGGTCATTTGGTCGTCAATACACAATATGAACGTTGCAACGCGCATTTGAAGTGCGTCATTCTGTAAAATCGTGATCTGAGTGGTTTTCATAAGAATATTGTTGTTCCTTTTGTTGTGGAAATCTTTTAAAAACTGAAACCATGTGTTCAACGGAAGGTGATATTGCAAGCGACGGTATGATAATTAGTAACGATGTGGGAGACGCTTTTGGATGTTCCAGGTATGTACAGTTTAAATGTGTAAAGAAAATATATAATTTAATAATACATTGCATCGAAAGAATGTTCATAGCCTTGATGTTTCCTAGTTACTTTCCATGTGGAATACCAGTAAATGTAACATGATTGCATGAAACGCGATCAAATTGTACTAAGATTATCTATTTTAAATTATTAAATCAAAATGATTCCGGTTGGATGTATCTCTCTCGATAAGAATAAAAAATTAGATATTAATTATATTGAAATAGTAATGTTATAATAAGCATTTACTATCTATACAGTAAATAGATAATCTCAAAATTATGTTATCTCTACCTTCTCTTTGGCATATATCGAGTCAATGTTTAGTTAAATGTACCCAGATATCAGGCATGCTCTTTTTTTTACAGAAACAGCGTCGGTCCGCTCATGGGCCCTTTACAAACGGCACCCACTGAACGTTACGCCACACATTACAACATGAATCACTCAAAACGTGGATTAGCTATTATTTTTAATCATGAATTTTTCACTATTACACATCTTAAACCTAGATGTGGAACAAATGTGGATTGTGAAAATCTTGTCAATACATTGAAAAGTCTTGGTTTCGAAGTAAATGATTTTCATAATTCAACACATAGAGATATAGTGAAAAATTTAGAAAGAGGTACTCAGTTGATGTTTTACCCATCTATAATTTTAAAACTTCCTTTTTGTGTTTAAAATTTTAATGTCCAAAGGAAACAACATCGAGCATATCTTTAAAACATTATGATTCTGATTTTACAGTTGCCAGTATGGATCATTCTCAACACGATTGTCTGATTGTAGCTGTATTGAGCCATGGAGAGTTAGGATTGTTATATGCTCATGATACTTCTTATAAATCTGATTCTATTTGGGGTCATTTTACGGCAGATAAGTGTCCAACGTTAGTTGGAAAACCAAAGTTATTTTTTATACAAGCTTGCCAAGGAGATCGTTTAGATTCTGGTATGACTATAAAAGACCGAACAGAAACTGATGGTCAACCAGCTTCTACGTTCAGAATACCAACTCATGCGGACTTTTTAATTGCTTATTCTACAATACCAGGTATTTTTGTAATAGTATTTTTATAACCAATAGATTTTTAAGGAAAATAAAAAGTACTCGCTATTTGTAGGCTTTTATTCTTGGAGAAATACTACTCGTGGTTCTTGGTTTATGCAAGCACTATGTTTGGAATTGCGTGAAAATGGTACTCGGTACGACTTGTTGACTTTGCTCACGTTTGTTTGTCAGAGAGTAGCCATTGACTTTGAATCCAACACTCCTGATAATATAACGATGCATCAACAGAAACAAATACCGTGCATTACATCAATGTTAACTCGTTTGGTAAAATTTACATCTCCAAGAAATGGAATGGTATAGTTATTTTATACATGATATTGTGAGTACCTTCATTGCAATGGTCACACTATTGTTGAGAGTTAAGTAGTGATATTTAGTCTATACTACTCCGATTTACTAGTGTGATTACACTGCATAGCATTTACTGCAAACTGCCATTACATTCTATAAAACTTGCACCAGATGACAAAATATTATAGCACAATATGATAGACTTTATGATATATATATGTACAAGGTTTCGTACTGGTATACTTTAAGAACAAATCCTATAAAGCTTATGTCTTTCACAAGATTTATAATGACAATGGATATTTTTAATAGAATATCTATTTGTAATCTTTGGTCATTTTGAATCCACTATATAGAGTTAGAATGAATATAATAGTAGTCGTGCAAAAGTTTAGTAAAACGTACTCGTTCTAGTATGATAAGTAAGGTATGAAATAAGTACAAATGCAAGATAAAAGTAAGCTGGCAGTGTTATAACTATCACGCACTTGCCGCTATAATGGCACAACTAAAACGACATATTTGTCTGGAAAACTGGTTCAAATCATTAGAATGATTAAAATTGTCTAAAATCACATTCAAATAACAAATTAACATGAAATTATGTTCTAAGATAAAAATATTATAATATCGTCATTCAGTTCTATGAATTTACAAGAATCCTATTTTCTGTGCCAGTAATTAAAAACTTTTCTGGTTGTGCTATTATTGTAATGAAAAAGTGATATACATATAATAAGAATTGATTGCCTTGGTAATTGCTGCTTTCAAGCAAAATTTAACAAGTAATTCGTATACAATTTATGTCGTTATGGCATACATTTACAAAAATGTATTTTTTAATCATTCGAAAGCAATTTAAGAAATTGATACATATAATATGCTTACTGCTTTGTACAAAATGTCAAGGTGACAAAACTTGTGTCTTTTCATAACAAGCAATAGCCTGTCTCAGTGGCTTTCAATTTTTCAACATATACGGACTAGTGAAGATATAAATATTTTGTGGACCGCTGCGATGAAAATAAAAAACCACTAATAATATAACATTTTCTATAGTAGCTTTTAAAACTAATAATGTGTCTAGTTGAAAAGCGGTAATAATTTTTTTGCGAACTAGCTAAAATTTCTAAAACTCCGGCAATGGTCCGTGGATCGATGGTTAAAAAACACTAGTATATCTTACATTAAAAAGGAAAAAAAAACATATTTTGAATTTAGGAGTAATAGAATATTACTTGCCTAATTAAAGTAGTTGTGATTAAATAAGGTGCAATTACAAGGAACATCTAAGTTTTATCTATCGTTAAGAGAGGAAAAGATGACATATGCTGTAACTAAATCATTAAAAGATGCAATATGCACATACTTTTGGAATTGCTAGCTGGAGTATGAAGTATCATGTTGCTTTATCATTTGAAATTTAATCGCTGAATTAAATAGATTAGTANAAGTATACAGTTATTAAATGCATATTCATTCAATTTTACAATTTTAATATTGCTTTCAATTGTTTGACTACTATGTCTGTATCACTGCATTTGTATATGGAGTGTAACTTGTAGAAAGTTCTTGATTCGAAAGTGGTTGTTATTCTTATATAAAGTATATTGTTCCTTATTTTAGTAATTTTGAGTATGATCTTTCTGTATTAGAATCCA